AACACCCAGGTACCCAAAGACAGTTAGATACAACCAGGTACCCAACCAAAGTTAGAAACACCCATGTACCCAACCAAAGTTAGAAACAACCAGGTACCCAACCACAGTTAGAAACAACCAGGTACCCAACTACAGTTAGAAACACCCAGGTACCAAAACACAGTTAGAAAAAAACAGGTACCCAACCAAAGTTAGAAACATCCAGGTAACCAACGACAGTTAGAAACACCAACGTGTATCACTGCAAACAGGTTTACCATTTGGTATTACGTAATCATCAGCTTATTCCCAAGAAATCAGGGACAAACTTACATAAGATTTGCGTGGAGTAACAGTGTACGTGGACGAAATAACAGTGAGTGGAATAAGTTGAGAATATCATGTAATAAACCTACGCAATCTATGGCACAAGTAGAATGAAAATGGTTCAAAGTGCAAGTTGAAAAAATACATTTTTTGCCCAGCAATCAATCGTATATTTAGGGCATAAATTATTAAGCAATGACATATTAAAGTATGCAAAATTAGATGCAGTTATAACCATGCCGGCACTCACAGATATTTCTAGTCTACGGTCATTTCATGGTCAAGTGCATTTTTACAACAAATTCTAAATAAACTACCACAAATGACATCCGAATGGCATTGAGTCTAAAGGGAACCGGGTCCAAATGGAGGCTATGACTTTAGACTAAATGCTATTCGAGTATCATTTGTGGTGGCTTGTTTCATTTAATTTGAAGAAGTAAGTTTACAAACATATAGTACATTCAATAATCTTTCATTTGATACCTAATTTTGTCTAACAAACCCTACAATAATATTTTAAATATTTTTAATAAACCTAAACTTTCACTTCTGATACCCGCAGTGGCGTAGCTAGGGGGGCAGGGGGTATATTTCTCCGGGCGCCACGTTAGGGGGCGTCAAAATGAGTATTAAAACTAATTATTTAATTTTATATTGATGTAAACTAATGTGTCTCAAATACGTTTGCAATCTAGAATTTTGGAGCTCCACAAATATCTTCATTACAAACCAGTTGGCAAGGATGATGTGTTCGCCCCCATTGAGCATTAAGTGGTGCCATTCTACTCATAAACAAATGACACATCCACAACGTAGGATTGCTGATGGCGTTTTTTGAAAAACAAAGATCAGTTCGGATTCAAATATTATTTTTTCATATACTGAAAGTGGCATCTGGTTTTAACAATTATACTGGTTGGATAATTTCGAGTCGCATATAGGTATTTACCTGAGTGCAATGAAGATAGAATAATACTTCACATAAGTTGAAGAGAGAAAGATAGATAACAAGTATACGTCTCGTTGCATATAGTCTGCAGCTTTCTCTCACTTCCACCAGTATAAAATATTATAAAATGTTGGAAACTTTCTCTCTGTGATCAAACTCGTTGCTCAGTATGATCCACTGTTAGAAAAAACCTGCAACACGCCCGAGAAAATCCAGGTTCAGTATCTTATTTATCACTGGAAATCCAAAATGAATTTATCCACCTACTTGCATCGACTGTAAGGAATCAGCTATTGAGCGAAACAAAAAAACAAGTACTACGGTATCTTACTTGACTCAACACCCGATCTAGGTCACCGGGAACAGCTTTCTCAAGTCATCAGATTTGGGGATGTGGATTTTCAAACTAAAAAAGTAACCATCAAAGAATCATTTTTAGGTTTTGTCCCGATAGATTCCAAAGACGCAGCAAGCCTTGAAAGAGTTATCGTAGAGAAACTGGAATCTGATAACATACCTCTAGCCAACTGTCGGTCACAATGTTATGACAATGCTGCTGTAATGACTGGGCATATATCCGGACTTCAACAGCAAATATGTGCCAAAAATCACAGAGCATTGTTCATCAACTGTGACAACCACAGCTTAAACTTAGCAGGAGTACACTCGGCTAAACAGGATCCAGTTGTTATCACAATTTTTTGGAACAGTTTAAAGTATATATTTGTTTTTCTCTCGTTCAACAACTCGTTGGGAAGAATTATAACAAGTTGTGCCAATCACAGTGAAGAGGGAGTCTGAAACACGGTGGAAGTGCACGATCAGAAACTGTTAAAGCTATTTATGAAGGACTAGATGAGCTAGTAGAGCTGTTGGAACAATTATTAAAGATGCAACTATGATGCCTGAAACCAGAAGTGATACAGAAACTTTGCTGGCAGGTATATTAAACTTTAACTTCCTAGTTTTGTTACATTTCTGGAGCATCATACTTCGTAAATTGATAGTATCCAGAAACGGTTGCAGGATCCTACTATGAATTTCAAGGAAGCAGCATCTGATCTTGAATCGCTGGAGCAAGAACTTGTCAAGGGGTAATAAGGGGAGAGACTGCAATCAGGTTAGTACAAAATAAAATGAGTAAAACAGAGTAGGGTTAAACCTGAAAAAATAAACGCAACAAAACAGCGAACGTGTCGGCAGAAAGCCTTCGTCAGCGAACAAAACAACAGAAAAAACGTTATAAAAATAAGAAATAGCACTTAGCTGGTAAGTAGTATCTGTGGGCAGCACTTCTCACACTTCTATTGCTGCCCACAGATACTACTTACCAGCTAAGTGCTATTTCTCATTTTTATAACGTTTTTTCTGTTGTTTTGTTCGCTCACGAAGGCTTTCTGCCGACACGTTCGCTGTTTTGTTGCGTTTATTTATTTAGGTTTAACCCTACTCTGTTTTACTCAAGAACTTGTCAACATTCGTGATAATTTGAGCCATGTTGATGTAGACAATGGAAAAACAAGATGCAAAACCTGGGCAATTGAGGTTTACAGAAGGATTAGATGACATCGGAGGATGCCTGGAGAATTAGCAAGAGATGCAGGACTTTCTTCAGAAGAAGAAATTGCACGTGTTATGAACAGCGTCATTGATAAACTCATCCACGAGACATCAATACGGTTTTATGTCTAAAACAGCAAAACACCAAATCTGGATTTTTACTACACGTCAAAACTATTCTCGCTGAGACAAATGTCGATACACTTCGTCAAAATTGCTTTGATTTTGGAAATTTCTACGACACTGACGTCGTTGGTCACGAATTGTGCACAGAAATCGGAGACTGCAAAATGCTGCTCACATGGCGCCCGCAGAAAACTTTCTAGGGGGGGGGGGCAAAGAAAATCGATTAACTTTCCAGGGGGGGGGGCAAAACTTGTTTGTAATGTTTTAATAGTTTTAATTTACTGTAGCGTATTTGTATGGTGAACGAACGGACAGGACATCAGCTTAGTTACTTTGTCTTTATTGTCTCTTTACTTTAATAATTTTTTTGTCTATTTTTGTCTAAAATTTTTGTATCCAATCAATCCAGGGTGGGGGGGGGGCATGTGCCCTCCTTTCCCCTACCGGCGTGCGCCCATGGCTGCTCAGTACCCGGACTGAAGTTCTACCGGAAACTCCTTTGGATCTTCTTGGTTTTATTGTTTCATATGGAGATGGCGTATTTCCGAATCGGCGCATTTCACTGCAAATTGCTTCCATTGCAAGCTGTGAGCGGTACTTCAGCAAACTGAAGCTTATTTTGTCTTATTGACGTGCTTCAGTGGGACAAGATCGTCTGAGTGATCTTGCACTTCTTAGCATCGAAAGAGAAACATTTGAGAATATTAATTTTTACAACGTGATAGACGAGTTTGCGACAGTCAAATCAAGGAGTATCAATTTGTTGTAGACTATGTCTATTCCAGTCATGAATAATTAGTAGAGTATATATTTTTTTTTTCAAATAAATTGTTTACAATCGTATAGAGAATTATTAGTCTGTATTCTATTTCATTAAAATACCAGATACTTCGAAAATGAACCATATAAACCGTAAAATTTCTAAATTTTCTTGGGGGCTCAGACTGAGCCCCCAGACTCTGTCGGTCCGAGAAGGGGCGCAGATTTTGTGTCATGTCCCTGTGCGCAGATGACCCTAGCTACGCCACTGGATACCCGTGCCCGAATAACCGAATCCTTCAAATTTGGCGTCAATTTTTTTTATGAAGGCACTATTTTGTGTTTCTTTTTTTTTTTTTTTGGTGACAAAAATGGGAATTGTAAGGTTCACCAAAACATTTCATTGAAATATTAATACAAAGGTTCAAAACTCAACTGCAAGGTTCATTCTAAAGGCAAAAAAATAAAACGTGAAAACGTCACAACACTACGTCATTTACTTCATTGGCTCCCTGTACAAGCACGGATTGACTACAAACTTTCTGTTCTCTGCCACAACTTTTTGTCGAATTGCCGCCTTTCCTATCTTACTGAACTTCTCTCTATTAACTCTATTCACCCCTTCGACAGCCTCGCTTCTTCGCAGACGCGCGTATTCTTTCTGTCCCCAAGACTCGCACAAAAACATCGGTGAACAATGGGTTTCTCTCCCATTACACATTCGCAATATACCGACCATCACACCCTTCAAAACTGCACCCAAAACACATCTCTTTAAACTCTACTATCCTGACTGATTACCCCTCTGACAAATAAACCATGCTGCCGGGTAGCCGTCCATGGCTTGACATGTAAATAATTCTGGTTAATTTTTAAGTTCATGATTATGTTTGTTAAATTGTAAGCAGGGTTTCTTTCAGCTATATCTCGGGGGGGGGGGGGG